CATCAAGTGTATATACAGCTGAAACCATTAGTTTACATTCACTGTATAAAGACAAATAAAACCTTTTTTTTTTCTCAGTGTCTCACATGAAATCAGAATAAACTTTTCCTGTTTTAGGTCAGTTAAGACTACCAAAATTGTTTATATTTGCTAAATGCCAGAATAAGGACAGTTTTGTTTTTTTAGAGAATTGTTTTAGTACGTTCTTCAAAGTTAGAAATTTACATACACTAAGATTATTATGCCTTCAAACTATTTGGGAAAGCCCTAATGATGGTGTCATGGCCTTGGAAGCTTTTGATAGGTTAATTGACAACATCTGCGTTAATTGGAGGCACACCCATGGATATACTTTAAGGCACACCTCAAACACACTGCTTCCTTTTGTGACAACATGGGAAAATCTAAAGAAATCAGCCAAGATATCAGGAAGGGATTAAGGGATTAAGGATTTCTTTGTAATGGGACAAATGGTATAAAGTTGTTAGCTGTACCTTGACATGTTTCGGCGTCTTATCTGTCGCCTTCTTCAGAAGTGTCATCTAACGTGTGTGACGTGTCTTTATCAGTTGTTGTTCCGAGGTGTGGCCAATCTGACAGATCCAGTGGGTGTGTCAGTTTGACCACACCTATCGCTGCGTGGTGGCCTGTGGAGCAGAGCGTCCCAGGTGTGGGATAGAAGGAACGCTCCATCATCTCTATTGATTGTGTGTGAGCTTCGCTTCCTGATTTCAATGGCCTCCTGGATCCAGCGCCTGTATTTGTGCTCCTCAATCTCTATGATCCTTACGTCTTCCCAATTCATCACACATGATTTTCTTGTTTGCAGTGATCTGAGATGGCAGATTTTAGGTTTTCCTGTTTGGCTTTTGTTTTCTCCAATCTTGTGAGACGTTCAGTAGTTTCTTTTTCACACTCTCTGGTGTTCCATCCTCCTCACGCTGAAGGCCTGTCCCGTTTCCCCCACGTATGTTTTATTGCAGGTCCTACAGGGGATTTCATAGATTACGTTACATTTATTGTCCAGCTGGACTTTGTCCTTGGGATGTACCAGAAGCTGCTTTAGTTTTGTATATGGTTTGACCACTGTGTGAATATTCTGTTTCATCATGGCTCTTTGGACTGATTCTGTGACTCCACGGATGTAAGGTAAGGTGACTATTTCTTTTTCTTCCTGTTTTGCTTGTTTGGTCCGAGGGCTACAAGCACGCTTAAAAAGGATAAAACCATAACCATACTACCCGCAGACAAGGGCAGAACAACAGTAACTAGAAAATTTCCTTGCAGAAAATTTGAGAGTGGCACGGGAGTCTGCCGGGATTTAAATGATGATTTTATAATTACCAAACCTACTAAACACTTTGAACAACCTAAGCCTCATCTGTGTGGAGAGAGCAGAGAGGGAGGAGGAGTTGAGAGTAGGGTCAGAGCGTTGCCGGGCAACGAAGCACACAGCTGCAAGAAGCACACAGCTGCGACAGAGACTTTGTTTAACTGTCAAATCAGTGGAAGGAAGCAGAAGGAGAAGACCTCAAACAACCACCATTTTTGTCAAAACCGTGTGTCGGAGAGAAAAGCCGAGCACATTCTCAGAAAGCCAAGACCTTGGGCATTACAGAGATGTATTTTTTCTTTTCCTAGTGTAAAAAATGAGCACACAATCATTTGAGAAGTAATGTGTAAATTTTAGGTCCTTGAGAAAAATCTGCAGCCATCTTTGAATGGGTGCAGATGGGGAAGGAAGAGAGACTTTCGGAGGAACAAGGCTCCAAAAACCCCCCAAACTTAATTCTATGGGCTTCCAAAGTGACATTGTGAGAGGGAAGACAAATTTTCCTACGTTTTGATGTAAAAATGATGTCTGTGGCATAAAAATTGTGGCCAGGGCGACAAGTTAAAAAAAGATTTACTGTGTGATTTTTTTGTGAGCTCCCACTCTAGTGATGTCATCACTCACTCTAAAGGACCACATACACACCCATTGTAAAGGCTGAAACGGGGTGAAAAAGTTTCAAAACTTGGGAGGTTGTCACGATGAAACGATTGAAGATATGAAAAAAGTAAAAACACTTTGAAATAGTGGAAGGGCGCGTCAACATTTTAAAGTTTATATGGAGTCTCTAGGTGAAAGCATGGCTGAGCAGTGGAGGTTTGAAAAGTAGTGTAATTTTGTGATTTTTTTTGTCCGTCCCATTCATTTTCAATGGGAAATTTTTGCGACGTTTTGTCGAATTGTGTCGCGAAAAATGCGACTTTTGTAAATCTGTATGTAAGCACACGATTCCCGATCGAGCCGCACGTTTTGATATATAATTTGTGTGGGTGCTCCCAAATCTGTGGGAGGAGTAGGCCGGCAAACTTTTGTACGGAAGAGGAACCAGGATAACAATAGTGGCCACAGGCTGAGCTCAAGGCCCTACTTGTACAGAGTACAAGTAGGGCCTCGAGCTCAGCCCGTGCCACTAATAATGGACACAAATACATATGAAGAAAAAATGGAAACGATACTGAATCCAACCAAACAGAAGAAAAAGGCATTCAAGGCCCTCTTGAAACCCATGGTCCAGATAACACAGGAAGCATACACTGGTTTCTTTCCCACAGCTAATATTACACCGCGCATATACGGCACCCCAAAAATACGCAAATCAGACGCCCATAGTAGACAGCACAGGTTCAGTTACGTACAAACTCTCAAAAGCATTAGTTGAAATACTCAAACCCCTCCTTGGCCAATCCACACACCATTGCAAAAACTCTAAAGAACTTGCAAAAGAACTCAAAAACATAAAAACAGAACAAGATGAGATTCTGGTTTCCCACAACGTCATATCACAATTCACTAAAACACCTGTCGACGTAACTTTACACATTGTGCAAGGGAGGTTGAAAAAGGACCGTACCTTCAAGAAACGCACAAACCCTACAAAAGAAGACATTATATCATTACTAACTTTCGTAGCCAAATCCACCTATTTTCAGTACAAAAACACAATATACAGACAAAAAGAAGGTTTTGCTATGGGTGACCCACAATCTGCTATCATGAGCAATTTTTTCATGGAGGATGTAGAAACAGCAATAATATGGCACCGCTACACTACAGGCCCACACTATGGAAACGTTACGTGGACGACATACTAGAGAAAATAAAACTGGGACAAACACAAACACTCAGGGACTATCTCAACTCCATAGACACCACCGGCAACATAAAATTCATACACGAAGAGGAGAAGGAAGGAAAAATAGCATGTTTTGACATCAATATACACCACAGACTGGACGGCACCATAGGAACCACAATTTACAGAAAACCCACACAAACGGATCAATATCTACTCTGGACCTCTGAACATCCCAAAGTGCACAAATGATCAGTTGTCAGAACCCTATTCGAACGTATAAACATGGTCTCAGAGGAGGAAGACAGGCAAGCAGAAGAACAACACATAACACAAGCGTTAAAGAATTGCGGCTACCCGAAGTGGGCCATTGCAAAAGGCAAGCAAAAAGTACTCAACAACAAACAAGAAAAACGGCGCAAGAAAAAGACCAAATAAGCAAAACAGGAAGAAAAAGAAATAGTCACCTTACCTTACATCTGGCATCATCACAAGATGAATTTGTTTGGGCGCCTGGATAGCTCAGCGGGTAGGGCAGGCGACCCATGAGCAGGGGCTATAGTCACCGACGCAGCAGCCACGGTTCAATTCCAGCCTGCGGCTCATTTGCTGCATGTCATTCCCCCACTCTTCTCCCCATGTTTCTCTGTCTATCTTTCACTTTCAAGCATCATTAAAGGCAGAAAAGCCCAAAAATAAATCTTTACAAAAAAAAAAAAAAAGATGAATTTGTTTATGTAAACAAGAAGCATTTTCATTTAATCAATGTACAGATTATCTGTGATGCGCAAATGCATTTAACTAACATTGTTGCGAGGTGGCCGGGATCAACACACAACTCACTCATGCTGACCAGCAGCATAGTTGGGAACAGGCTATAAGCTGGCACGGTGCGGGATGGGTGGCTTCTTGGTGAGTAAATCATTTAATTGTCCTAACATTAATCCCCCCGACACGTATTAGGCATGTGCGGGCATCAGCACCTGGCTGTTGCGGCGGACCGGAGGATTGGCTGATGCCGGGGAGGCTGGAGGAATTCCCCGGGTCTGTGATACGAGGCTGGGACTGCCTCTCACAGTCTTCTCCTGCCTCATTGTCTGTTGGAAAATAATAAATTGAGTAATGAAACATGAGGCAAAGTCTTTGATTTCCTCTTTGATATCCTGGCATGATTACACAATAACCTGTATCTTCTTTGGCTGTGAGCAGATTATTGTATGATCCGTATAATGAATACATTTTTGAGTTACACAATATAGATTTACCTTGGAGGTGATCTGAGTGACCCATGTGTGTTCCCACCACCCCTGTGAGAGCAGTGACACCCACAATAGTAGCAATTCTCTGCTCAAACGGGGTGAGTTCATCCTTGTTACTGTTATCTGATCATGCAGAGAGGGTAATCCCACCTGTTGGCCCTGTTTATGTTAGGAGAAGCTCCTAGTCGGTGTGGTGGAACCCAGAATGCGACAGAGGACGCGGGTGTGGTGACAAAATAAGATTTATTGTGTAACACCCAGGAAGCGGGTGTTTGTACATGAGGCCCTTGGTCAATACTTTTTGAAGTATTAAACCAAGAAACCAAACTAATACCAGAAAACAGTGACACAATTGAAGCTCTGAACCACTTTAAGAAGAGTACTGCAGCTCTGAGGAAAAAAACAAAATAAAATTGTTTGAGATCTCAAAAAATAACCTATCCTAACATTATACAAGTTGTCAAAACTTGTAGAATGTTTTTATATTGCAGAACCCTAGATTTCAAGCTTTCAACTTTCAACCACGCAGTTCCAACCATTCAGTTTCAAAGTCATGAGAATTTCAGTTTTAATCTCAGCTTTACATAACTGTTTCCTCTCCTTCTGTCCTTTACAGGAAATGTGTTTGTGGTGAGCCTGGCGTTTGCTGATTTGGTGGTTGCGTTCTACCCCTACCCTTTGGTGTTGTATGCTATCTTCCATGACGGCTGGTCGGTGGGTGAGACCAACTGCAAGGTGAGCTATGACTGCATATCATAATGCTGACTTGGCTTTGCTGCATTGGTAATACAAAGGATGGATTAGCTATACATTACCTCAGCAAGATTGATGAAAAGTTGACCTACCAAGGGCTGCTTGAATCATATATTAGGAGAGGTCAGTGAAGAGTGATCCTTCTTCAGTGACAGTCAGTCATGCAAAGGGTGTCATCTTTATAGAACAAAGAGGGAAAATAACAGCTTTACAGAAATATATGGGAGACAATGAGCAACTTCCGGATGCTGCGACCTGAGCCACATGGCCTCCAGGACACTATTCATTCAGGACATGAGGCTGAGCTACACACCTCCTTTCATCAGACTGCCTCTCAAATGATCTTCATTCTCTTCAGTTATGCCAGCTGTGTGTGCCTTTCACTTCTCTATAGTCACTTGTGTTAATAAATCAGACACAAATTTTCCTTAAACATCTTTGCATGAGTGACTTTACTATGATAATCAATGCTTAACTTGTTGATACATCCACCCTGAACCAGCGGTCCCCAACCACCGGGCCACGGGTCACATGGTACAGGGTGACATATAAAAAATAGAAATGTTTCATCTTTTACTTTATTTCTGGCAGAGTTTGCAGCTTAGAATAGAAATAGAATAGAAAATAGAATAGAAAAATACTTTATTTATCCCAGTCTGGGAAATTACTGTGGTACAGCAGCAGCAAGAAAAAACACCAATCACAACAGAAAAAGGGCTAAAGTTAAATACTATTTAAAAAATTTCTATACACCGCTTAATCCTCATTAGGGTCACGGGGGGCTGGAGCCTATCCCAGCCGACTTAGGGTGAAGGCAGGGGACACCCTGGACAGGTCACCAGTCCATCGCAGGGCCACACTTAGAG